TTCTGGCGCCTGGAGTGTGTGGCGGTGCTGCCCCTCAGGGGAGGCAGTGAAGGAGGTGCACACCTGGAGGAAGACACTGATGGACCATGCTGTTTGCCGTCCAAGTACAGATGCGAAGCTGGCCGTTCTGTGGATCTAAATACTCGTACAAATAAACATTTTTTAAAAAAATATTTTATTGATTTTTTACAGAGAGGAAGGGAGAGAGATAGAGAGTTAGAAACATCGATGAGAGAGAAACATCGATCAGCTGCCTCCTGCACACCTCCCACTGGGGATGTGCCCGCAACCCAGGTACATGCCCTTGACCGGAATCGAACCTGGGACCCCCCAGTCCGCAGGCCGACGCTCTATCCACTGAGCCAAACTGGTTTCGGCACAAATAAACATTTTTAAAAAATATATTTTTATTGATTTCAGAGAGGAAGGGAGGGGAAGAGAGAGAGAGAGATAGAAGCATCAATGATGGGAATCACCAGATCGGCTGCCTCTTGCACGCCCCCCACTGGGGATCAAGCCCGAAACCCAGGCATGTGCCCTGACTAGGAATCCAACCATGACCTTCTGGTTCATAAGTCTACGCTCAACCACTGAGCCACGCCGGTCAGGCCAAAATAATCTTTTAAGACCAAACACCTCAGGTGGGCTCTCTCCTGGCCATAGGACTGAGTGCAACCAACTCAGCATGGCATCGGGGCCCTTTACATTTTCCCAAAGGACTTCTGCAGGCTCAGCCCCCTGCTTCCCTTGCAGCCACGCAGGCCTCTGAGCCAACATCCCTACCTGGTCTAGCCTAGCCACCCACCATTATACCTCCCCCTAAGCAACCATCTCACCATCCCCCACGTCCCCCAGGTCAAATGCTTCCTAGATGGAGTCCTTCCTCTTTTCTCCCTGCAAATCATAATCTCTCCTTTGAGTCCCCCACTGGTGCTTACCAGCTTGAAGTGCCACCACTTAACTAGGGACTTGACCACAGTAAGTAACTAATTCTTTGCAGGCCTCTTCCCCTGTAAGATGGGGCAGAAAAACACAAAACACAAAACCCCACAGTGAAGTTGTAATACCAAGTGAAGTAATCTGTGTAAAGTGCTAAGAACAGTGCCTAACACATTACGGACCTCAGTAATGTTAGCTATTAGCATCATTTTAATTTTCATCTCTTAATCCTCAGCGTCCAGCTCTTAGTTGATGCTTAATTAGTGTTTGTTGAATGAATGGAAACTTAATAAATATGGAAAAGGATTTATCCTTGGGTCTTGGACCTGGTTTTAGAAAATTAAGTATTTAGCAGAAGAAGCGCAAGGACTCCAAATTGACCTGGTTCTCTCTTTAAAGAAAATGACAGATAAGGTGTGTGTCCCCCACCCCCCACCCCCTCGGAGCTTTGTGCAGAGTCTGGCACACGTTTCGTGCTCACCCAAACCACACTGCACGAATGCACGCACACGACCTGGCAGGGTTGCCTTAGTGTAGGCAGTATCATTGTCTGTGGCCAGAATGACTTCCACTCCCCTACCCGCCCACCACAGAACCGGGACTGGCGCCGGGCCCCAGGCTCTGCTGTGGAGGCTGGGGAGGGGGCAGGAATCGGGCGGCGGCCACGTGGGCCCCTTCCGTCCGCTCCCCACATCCTTTGTTTCCCACTGGCCGCGGCTCAGGAAGCTCTTTCTGCGAGTCACCGCGAAGGGGCGGCTAGGGAGCCCGGAGAAGCTATTTCCGTTCAATCCGGGCGGGTGGCAGGCGCGGGAGGGGCGTGGAGGTGGAGGCAGCGCAGAAGGCCTAGTGTTTGCTTTTATTTCATCCAACAGAAGGTTCTATTTGTGGAAGCGAACAGACGCTGAGGATTAGAACTGGGAGGGGGGCAGGAAAAGGGAAAAAAAAGCCACATCCACTACCACGCACAGGTCTTCCCCGGAACTACCGCGTGGGGGTGAATGACTGGTTCTGGAATTCATCACCTTTCCTATCCTCCCTTCCTCCCGCTGCACCCGACCTGCCCACGGCTCCAACCGGAGGTTCCTAGGCGCCGGGCGGTGAGGGGGTATCCCCGTGGCCAAAGGCTTAACGGCGGGGCGACAGCGAGCGGGGGTGCCGAGAACGGCGGTGCGCGTGCCCGCAGACCATTGTGCTAGGTGTG